TGAGTTGGAGTTTCGCTCTTGTTACCCAGGCTGGAGTGCAATGGCACAATCTCGGCTCACCGCAACCTCCGCCTCCTGGGTTCAGGCAATTCTCCTGCCTCAGCCTCCTGAGTAGCTGGGATTACAGGCACGTGCCACCATGCCCAGCTAATGTTTTGTATTTTTAGTAGAGACGGGGTTTCACCATGTTGACCAGGATGGTCTCGATCTCTTGATCTCGTGATCCACCCGCCTCGGCCTCCCAAAGTGCTGGGATTACAGGTGTGAGCCACCGCGCCCGGCCAAGAAAACTTCTTTGATGATACAGGTCAGGTCACATAAAATACTCTTGTATATCTTTATTATAACATTGTTACTTGTGTGTACAGTTTCCTGATCTCCTGGTGGGGTGGTTAGTTTTGGGAAAGGAACTGTTATTTTTTTCTAAAGATGAACTATAAATTCCTTCTATAATTAGCTGGTCTACACCCAAAGCTAAGCAGAAGCTTTTTACCTAAAGGATATTACTACAGGCCATCAGACGCAAAATGGAGTCAGTCATGCTAAGCCTCCCTCCACTGTGACACAGACACACCACCAATTTAGCAGCCAATAGGAGAGTCACTGTTCCTTTGTAGTTCCAACCAAAGTCCCAAGGCTGCTTCTCTGGCTTCAGTCACATGCCCCACCTTTGCTGGGGGCTGCAGTCAGCCCCGCCCTAACCATGTGGACTGAAAATGGCAGAAGGGTGGGTCTCCAGAGAATATCAAGTTGTTGCTACTAGAAGAGGGGAACAGACACCGATGGGGTGGGGGAAGCTGCAGATTCTGGGAGAGACTCCAGATTCAGGGAAAAGTCAGGATGCAAACCAGATTTGTCCTGTTTCAAAGGCCAGGCCGAGACTCGCATCAACCAGAGAGGAGGCTTTGGTCCCTCTGAGATCACCAGCAAATAGAGGGGACAGGCTTGGCAATATTGACCCAAGAGGCAGTAATGGAGCACATCTGTGTCATTCATTCATTTAGCAAATATTGACAGTCTGCTATGAGTCAGGTCCTGGTCAAGGAACAGAGACAGGACAGTGAACAAGATGGATTAAAATCCAGGTCCTTCTGGAGCTGACATTCTACTTGGGGAGATTGACAATAACTAAAAGAAATAAGTGAAATATGTATTGGTACAGGGTGGTAAGTGCTGAGGAGAAAAATAAAGTGAGCAAGGGGAAGGGGAAGGCATCAGGGAGTCAGTAGAATGGAGTCATTATGTTAAAATTATGCCATGAGAGCAGATTGTAGTGAGGAAACAGGCCATGGAGACTCCTAGAATAGTGCTGTCCAATAGAAATAGAATGTGAGGCCGGGCACAGTGGCCCATGCCTATAATCCCAGCACTTTCAAAGGCTGAGGCGGGTGGATCACGAGGTCAGGAGATCCTAGGCCAGCCTGGCTAACAGGGTGAAACCCTGTCTCTACTAAAAATACAAAATTAGTCCAGTGTGGTGGCACACGCCTGTAATCTTGACTCACTGCAACCTCTGCCTCCTGGGTTCAAGCAATCCTCCTGCCTCAGCCTCCCAAGTAGCTCGGATTACAAGTGCCCGCCACTGCACCTAACTTTTTTTAAAATTCCATCCTCCCTTTGATGTGAGGTCTGTGTTCCTTACCTGTGGTCGTCCTCCCCACAGCTACATCCGCAAGAACTCATTTCCACTTATTTCACTGACATGGGTGCAAATCCAGCTCAGGGATGCAAAATGCATCGCTCCACAGAATGTCTAAGGCAGGCCCATATGGGGACACAGGAGGAAGTATGCCTGTGATCTATGGGGTTCCTCTCCACTCCCCTGCCCCATGGCCTTGTCATTGTAGCTGAGGCTGGACCCTTCAGTCAGGTTTAAGAAACTTCCATTGATTCCTGAAATCTTTACTTAAAAAAAAAAAAATTTCCAGGTCTGAGACTCCTACTACTGCCTCAGGGGTTGAGCCAGTTCTCACTCCACCATTTCCTCTTCAGCACAAAGATGTTAAATCGCTTGCCCTCCATTAGGGAGCCAACTGGGGTGTCTTTGGGGGTTAAGCCAGGATGAGCCCCCCTCCACAGATCTGCCCAGGGTAGAGAACTATGCCACTTCAATCAATGTGCCAGTCTAGAGGGCTCCAGAAGGAGTCATATCCCCACACCTATCACCTTCCAGATGGTCCCTTCCAGGTGTCTGTGTGTGTGGTGGTGGGGGGACTCAAAAATCCCCAAATATATAAAAGCATTAAGACCACCAACAGGCCGGGCGCGGTGGCTCAAGCCTGTAATCCCAGCACTTTGGGAGGCCGAGGCGGGTGGATCACGAGGTCAAGAGATCGAGACCATCCTGGTCAACATGGTGAAACCCCGTCTCTACTAAAAATACAAAAAATTAGCTGGGCATGGTGGTGCATGCCTGTAATCCCAGCTACTCAGGAGGCTGAGGCAGGAGAATTGCCTGAACCCGGGAGGCGGAGGTTGCGGTGAGCCGAGATCGCGCCATTGCACTCCAGCCTGGGTAACATGAGTGAAACTCCGTCTAAAAAAAAAAAAAAAAAAAAAAAGACCACCAACAGGAGGCTGGGCATGGTGGCTCACGCCTGTAATCACAGCTTTGGGAGACCAAGACAGGAGCACCTAAGGTCGGGAGTTCGAGACCAGCCTGGCCAACATGGAGAAACTCCTTCTCTACTAAAAACACAAAATTAGCAGGGAGTGGTGGCATATGCCTGTAATCCTAGCTACTCGGGAGGCTGAGGCAGAAGAACTGCTTGAACCCAGGAGGCGGAGGTTGCGGCGAGGCGAGATGGCAACATTGCACTCCAGCCTGGGCAACAAGAGCGAAACTGCATCTTAAAAAAAAAAGCAAAAAGACCACCAACAGGGAAGTAGACAACCCCCCAATTTTATTCCCTTTGTGCAACATTCTGAGAGGGAAGGGGCAAAGGAGTCAAGGCTGCCCCTCAAAACAATCAAGTAGGGGCCTTGAGGAGTCTTCAGTTGATCAGACAGGGTGAGAGACCCCTAGCCCCTTCCTCATGGTCCTGGCTTGTTACAATCAATGGGGGAAAGTTTTCCAAATGGGGATTCCGGGTTTCTCACCGCTCATCAGGGCACCTTCCCAAAACGTTCTCAGCAAGAATTCTGCACGTCTCAGATTTAAAGTAAGAGGGGAGTCTCTTGAGGAGCCAGAGGTGGGTATGTTCTCAGGGGTCAAGAAAAGGATGTCTCAGACTCTCCCCGTCCATCAGGGGGGCGTCCTGGCTCCCCGTACCTTCGGGCGAGTAGCTTTCGGCTTGACACTGTCCAGCCCGCCGGCGTCCCAGGCCGTTCCAAGCCCTCCTGGGGGAAGAGAGACGACTTGTCTTCAAGCATCGGAAAAGGGGGAGTCTCTCTTGCCGTTCATCACGGGGCTCTCTAGGCCCCCTGCGTCGCCAAGGGGAAGTCTCTGACATCCCCAATCCGTCGAGCTAGTGTCTCAAGACCTCTCACCTTAGGCGGGTTCCCTAGTACCCCCCATGCAGTCAGGCGAGCCTCCTGGCTCCACCGCGCCAACGAGCAAGTTCTGCTCTTCGCCTGTCACCGTCCGTTGGGCAGGGTCTCCGGTGCCCCCGTGCTGTCCTGGGGGTTCCTTGGACCGTCGCCGTCGTCAGGCTGGGAACCCAAGCCGCCAGGTTCCTCGGTCGGGGCCCGCGGGCGTACGAAGGCTCCCATGGCGGTGGCGTGGCCGGAGCGCAGCAGCTGCAGCTGGCGCCGCCCGCGGCGGTACAGGTACTCTATGCGCAGCACGTCGGAGCGCGGCAGACCCGCGTGCTGCCGGAACTCGGCCCGCACCCGCGCCTCGGCGCCCGGCTTCCCGCGCCCAGCGCGCAGGAGATCGCGGTACAGGCTCAGAACCTGCTTCTGCAGCCGGCTATGCCGGCTCATAACAGCGGCTGGGCAGAGACGTGCAGCGAACGCCCTGCGAACAAAAGAGCAGTCACACAGCCCACAAAGGCCAAAGGGCAAAGCCACAGCTACTTCCGCCCTGCGCTTCCCCTTGGCCTCCAACTTCCACCTCCCTCTATCCGGCGCTGCCGCGTCTAATTGGCTGTCGTTGCAGTTACGTCACAGCGGCCTAGGCGAGGGGGGCGGAGCCGCTGGTCGCTGCCTCCCGCAAAGGGAATTTGCAGCAGTTCTGGAGACCCTGGCACCTGCGTCTTGTAGGAGGAGGGCGCTATGTGTTCGTACTCCTAGGTCTTGGATCGGAGCGAACAGAGGGTCCTGACCTAACTCCTGCATCCTGGGAGAAGAGGAAGCTAGGGTTCGTTTGTTTCTGTTTTTTGTTTCTTTTTGTGGCTGTCTCGCTCTGTCCCCCAAGCTGGAGTGCAGTGGCGCGATCTTGGCTCACTGCAGCCTCGAACTCCTGAGCTCAAGTGATCCTCCCACCTCAACTTCCCGAGTAGCTGGAACCACAGGCGCGCGTAACCGCGCCCACTATTTATTTTATTTTTATTATTATTTTGGGTTTGTTTTTTTTTTGCAGAGATGGGCTCCCGCTGTGTTGCCCAGGATGGCCTCGAATTCCTGGGCTCAAGCTATTCTCAGCTTCCGAAAGTGTTGGAATTCCTGGCGTGAGCCACTGCGCCCGGCTATGGGTTCAGACTTTAGGTCCCAAGGGCGAGGGGCACTGGGAGAGACGCTGGGGACAAGCATGCTTTTGCCGCCAGTTACTGATTCAAACCATCTCGGGGAACTCCGTGCGTTCCCTTGTCGGGGCAGGTCTGTGTCGGGGGTCCGAGCGCTGGGCACTCGCAGAGGGACAAGGCCCCCGCAGGGAATGGCTGACGGCGGGTTGGCCAGGCCTCTCCATGCTGGGGGAAGACAGGCAGTCTACTAGACCGGCACCCCGGAGTCCTCCCGGGAGCTTCAGGTCTTCGGCCACAATTCCGTTGTTGTCCCCGCCGGCAGCCTGGAGGCGTCCTCGTAGCGCCAGGGAGGCCCGCAGGGACATGGCCTCTTTGAGCCCCACCAGCATCGGAGCATAGGGAACCGTTTGGAGACAACCCCGGACCCTTCCACCCGGTGCGCAACTGCGGCTCTGCACACTAGGGCCGGCAACCAGCTGGGGGTCGGTTCCTCTGCAGAAAGGAGAAGCTGGTCAGGGGCAGGGATTAGGCTTGGAGTCTTGGAGTCAAGGGAGGCTCAGAAACCACTGTTAATTCTGCTTGGCTGGTGTAGATATCTCTATCAAAAATACATGTCCTAGAACGCAGTGGCTCACGCCTGTAATTCCGGCACTTTGGGAGGCCGAACCGGGCAGATTATCTGAGGTTGGGAGTTCGAGACCAGTCTGGTCAACATGTTGAAACGTCTGCCTCCGGGTTCAAGTGATTCTCCTGCATCAGCCTCCCAAGGAGCTGAGACTACAGGCACCCACTACCACCCCCAGCTAATTTTTTTTATTTTATTTTATTTTTATTTTTAGTAGAGATGGGGCTTCACTATGTTGGCCAGGCTGGTCTTAAACTCCTGACCTTGTGATCCGGCCACCTCAGCCTCCTAGTGTTGACATTACAGGTGTGAGCCACCGTGCCTGGCTACCCACCCTTCTAATAATAATACCTGCACCTCCTTTTTGGCAGCTGCCCATACGTTCAGCATGTACACTGAAGATATATCACATCTAGGATCCAGTGATGTGTACAGGACCCAGGGCTACCTAATCAGATTATTTCTCACTCCTCTGGGCCCCAATCATTGGCCAGGCAAAGCCTGTCAGAGGCAACCCTGGGACCTTTGTAGGAACCAATGGAAAAGGGTGTTAAATTTTCTCCAGGGGCTGGGCATAGTGGCTCATACCTGTAATCCCAGCACTTTGGAAGGCTGAGGTGGGCGGATCGCTTAAGCCCAGGAGTTTGAGACCAGCCTGGGCAACATGGCAAAGCCCCATCATTACAAAAAATACAAAAATTATCTGGATATGGCAGCATGTGCCTGTAGTCCCAGCTGCTTGAGAGGCTGAGATGGGAGGATTGCTTGAGCTCAGCAGGTTGAGGCTGCAGTGAGCTGAGATCACGCCATTACACTCCAGCCTGGACAACAGAGCAAGACCCTGTCTCAAAATGAAAAGAAAAGAAAAGAGAAGAAAAGAAAAGAGAATTCTGCCTGATAGAGTACCCATGAAGACCAGTGGATGTGGACTGCCCATGTCATGGTCCTGCCTGACCCAAGTCACTGCATAGGTCTGCCTTGTGCGAGTGGGAACCTTCTGCCGTGCGCAGTGATGTGCGTGCTGCCAGTTGTAGAAGAGATGCAGTGTGGGCAGTTCTTCCTCCAGACCTGCCTCTGCCCATTGTTCTGAGATGCAGAAGTATCCCGTCTATTGCCCAGGATAACTGAGAGCCTGAGCTGCTGTGGGTTCACCTGCAGGGGTGACCAAGAGCTGGGGTCTCCAGAAGGGCTGAATTCCTGAGCATTTGGGGAAGGGTGGGGGAATAAGGAGGTTGAGGGGGTTGGACATTCGGATACTGAGAGTGGGACCTTCGAAGATCTAAGATGCCTCACCCTCATCTACTAACCAGGAATCTTTGTGTGTTTAAATAGAGACAGGGTTTCGCCATGTTGCCCAGGCTGGTTTGGAACTCCTGAGCTCAAGTGATCTGCCCACCTTGGCCTCCCAAAGTGTTGGGATTATAGGCGTGAGCCACTATGCCTGGCCTCTAACTGGGAATCTTTTTTTCTTTGAGATGGAGTCTCACTCTGTCACCCAGGCTGGAGTGCAGTGGTGCAATCTCAGTTTACCAATCTCTGCCTCCCGGGTTCAAGTGATTCCCCTGCCTCAGCCTCCTGAGCAGCTGTGGCTACAGGTGTGCACGACCATGCCCTGCTAATTTTTTGTATTTTTGCAGAGACAGGGTTTCACCATGTTGGCCATGATGGTTTTGATCTCCTGACCTCATGATCTGCCCACCTTGGCCTCCTAAAGTGCTGGGATTACAGGCAGGAGCCACCACACCCAGCCTATTTTTATTTTTTTTTAATTGGGAATCTTGATTCCAATATCCAGATTTTTCTAACACGATACTTGCAAGTCCTCTTCTCAGGAATCTTGATAAGTAATCCTACCAAGGAGCCAGGTATTCCACTTCATCCAGTAAACAGGAGAGCCTTCAGGCAGGACCCAAGGGCTTCCACCATTACCACGAGCCTCTACTCTTCCATCCAGATCAAGAGGTACCTCCTTTCTCCCAGTCCATGATTTCCTTCTTTTGTGTCACTTGGTGGTTTCCAGCCCACATTTCACCTGCATTCACCACCCCATTCTGGTTCAAGCCCATCGTCT